CCTCCTCTGGCCCCGCTCCAACAGCTCCGTGTCCTTCTGCTGGTGGGACCCCCCGAGCTGGAGGCAGCACTGCAGGGGGGTCTCCCCAGAGCAGAGCGCAGCAGAGGGGCACAATCCCCCGTCGCCCTGCTGGCCACACTTCTGACGCAGCCCAGGAAGCCAGAAGCCACCCCACACGCCGTCCACTGGCACAGGTTCCCTCCGCCTGGGGAGGCAGGAGAGCCGAGGAGGTGGGAGAGGTGTGACCAAACCCCACGGAAGGGGTTTCTGTGTGGGTGGCTGAAGTGGGCATCCTACTCGTCCCTTTCCCCGTGGCAAAGGACAAGCGCTGTTTTAGGCAGGAATGTTACTCTGCGAGCGCCGTCAGTGAGCGTTTCCTTCATAAATAGGCAGTGTGCGTCTTTTGGGGCTGCAGCAAGCGTTGTTAACCCTTGTTCCTGTGAAATCCCCCCTTGCCATGCACTGGGCACCGTTGTGGGTCCTGCCAGGCCAGCGAAGCATCCCAGGGGTTGATGCTCCGCCGCTTGCCGTCTGGGTGCTCTCCTTCGCCGAGCAGCCCCGGGAGCTCAACAGGGAGAGGGCGGAGGGGCAAGAAGTATATTTCTGTGTCTGTCTTGGTAAAATGACCAAACCTGCTTTCTCCTGCTGACGTACACCGGGGGTGGGATGCGTTTCCGTGTGCCGCTGCCGCACAGAGGCACAGACCCGCACCGGGGCGTTTCGCCGATCCTGGCTCCAAGAGCTGCTGGAGACAGGAAGGAAAATGAACTGCACTCAAGATAGACACGTTTGTTGCTCTATATTTAGGAGTATAATAATTAAGGCTGGTTGTTTATCCTGACAAACGTGGTAATTAATAGTCTGTGGCAGACGAGCAAATCCTTCCTGCACCTGGGAACTGTGAGTTGTCTCTGGGAAGGGTGAGAGCCTCATTAAAGAGCTGCTGCTGCTTGTGAGCAAAGCTGCTATTGAGGGAACATCTGGCTGTTTGCTTTGTCCCCTCCCCGGGCACGCGTGCCTGGGTGCCGGTGGTCTCCGAGGCCACGGTGAGGCTGCTTTTGTGCCCAGCCTGTGCCAAATCCTTCCTGCACCTGGGAACTGTGAGTTGTCTCTGGGAAGGGTGAGAGCCTCATTAAAGAGCTGCTGCTGCTTGTGAGCAAAGCTGCTATTGAGGGAACATCTGGCTGTTTGCTTTGTCCCCTCCCCGGGCACGCGTGCCTGGGTGCCGGTGGTCTCCGAGGCCACGGTGAGGCTGCTTTTGTGCCCAGCCTGTCCCTGAGGACCCAGGGCAGGAGGGTCCCACGGAGCGGGAGGTGATGGGTGGGCAGCGCTGCCAAGGGGACGCGAAGGGGGGACGAGGGTGGTTGGTGGCACCCGGGGGGGCAGTGGTGTGGGTACCAGTGTGCAGAAGGTTGCTCATAAATGCGGTAGGAGGTCTCGCTGGCCGGTGGGACGAGCTGGCTGGGCAGCGGGGCGGCATCCCAGAGGGCAGGGAGGTGGCAGGCAGGCAGGATAAGCTTTTACCAGCCTTGGAAGGGAGGGCAAGAAGTTTATGAGGACGGGCGGCTTCGCGCTCTTCCCACTAGATGGGGATGGAGGCATTGCACAGAGCGCACCCGAACCGGAGCGTGCCTGGGTGCCGCTCGCGGAGAGCACCCACGCTCGCAGAGAGCACCCACGCTCGGCCCTCACCCTGCGTCTTTTCCTGGTGGGTGCTGTGCCAGCAGCCCGGCTCTCCCCGGGGGGGGCTCAGGGCTGACGGGGTCTCACTTCTCCCGCAGATGCTGCAGGACTGTCCGAAGGCTCGCAGGGAAGTGGAGCTGCACTGGAGGGCGTCGCAGTGCGCGCACATCGTCCGCATCATGGACGTCTACGAGAACCTCTACCAGGGGAGGAAGTGTCTGCTCATCGTCATGGAGTGGTGAGTCCCCGGTGGTGCCGCTGCGGGTGGGCTCTCCCCACCGCAGCACCCGCAGCCCTGCGGGGTGATGCCGAAAGGGGGGTGAGCACCTTCCCGCACCCCCACCGGGTTGCTGGGGACCCCGGGGAGATGCTATGGCAGGGGGGAGGCAGCCTGCGAGCCGTAGGGATGCCAGCCCTGGAAGAGGTGGTGCACTGCTGGCGTTGGAGGGACGGTGGGAGCTGCGCTGGCTCTGAGTCATTCTGAAAGCTCGCTGGGCTGTTGGGAGGCTTCAGGCCTGTGGTTCTCACTGCGGAGAGATCATAACCAAACTCGCTTTGGCCATTGAAAGTTGGGGTAGTCGGCGGGTTCCTGACACCCCGGCGGCCTGCGGTGGGGTCTGGTGGGCAGCACGCGGCTGGTGCATCTACTGACACCGCTGCACCTCTTGCAGCAGCAGTTGAGCGGCTCTGGTTCGGGTAGATGTTTGATATAACCTGGGGAGGAGGAGGAATGAAGGGGAAAGTATTGAAACCACATCCCAACCGCAGCTGTGATTTGATGCAGCTTCCTTGCCAAAACCTCTCCTCTGGCAAGCCGGTAGGTCGCCTGGGGGGGCAGCGGGGGCGAGGAGCGC